GGCCGTGTGCAAAGGCCTGGGGCCAGTGAGAGAGGCAGACAGGAGGTCAAAGATTCACCACAGCTCCAAAGGAGTATGGGCAGGGACCAGGACAAGGAAAGGACCAGAGGAGCCGAAGGGCTGGGACACCACATTATCACTGGCCTGGATGGAAGGGACACACGTCATGAGGCCCAGGACACATCTGACACAGGTGCACCTCAGGGAATGAGGCACTGAGGAGGTCAGGACCAACCCTCGGGGCTCGGGCACACTGCCGTGGCCACCCTCCCGACGAGGCAAGCAGGGAGGCTTGAACACCAAGGGAGGAACAGTAAAGGGGAAATCAAGGACACCAAGACCCATGTGACCTGGGGGTGAAGCGGAGCAAGGAGGTGGGGTGCGGGCAGACGTGTGAACAGAAGACCTTCTCCCAGGCACTGCCCAGACATCCTGAAGAACGGACTCCCTGGTGAACACAGAGATTTTTTTCCTGGTGATGAAATCAGCTGTGACATTTAATGTAGGGGACTGCTGTAGACAGCGCAGGAAGGCGTTTCCCGGCAAAGGGATGATGAGGCTGGCATTTTGGCCCGTACGGGATGGTTATTACCCCGTGAAGGAGTCGGCTGGCTGGGGCTGAGGCTCCGGCCTCCTGTGAGGGAGCTCAAAGCCCACATGGGGGGTCTTGTCCCCTGCTGGGTACGGATTCAGTCAGGCAGATGGGGGTGGGGTGACCTTCAGGGCTTCCCACCCTGACTCCTGCACACACGTACGCAGAGCCTGGTACAGAGATTCGCTTGCCAGGTGCCACCTGGAGATCCCCACCTCTCGGCCCCTGGCTAAAGGCCCTGCCCAAGCATTCCTGACGAGGTGTGCCCGGTCCCCTCACCAGTGCCCCCATCACGGCATCCGTGACCTTGCATGCCCCCCACTGGCCACTCCTGCTAGCTCCCAGCCCATGGCCTCACGAGAAGGCTGTTTGTGGGGCCTGTGTGCCCTGGAATGGACTCTGCTCGTGGAGACTGGCGGGAGGACCTGGGGGCGGGGTTGTTTTTCCAATGCCTCCTCTACTGACCTTTAATTACGCTGTTTGCCCAGCTCCCCAAACCATTAACTCCCACCTCACAGCAACCATCAATTAATGGAGGGCCTGCTCCGAGCTCGAGCTCCTGAACACAATTAAGCGTGACAGTCCACAAATAAGAAAGAACTGGAGAATTAATTAAGGTCTAAACAAATTAATTACCAGTCCCCAATCGATTCTGATGCCAGCACACATGCTCCTGGGCTCACCGTCTTTCCTAACATCTCCATGTATAAATAGAAACTGAGATTTCCCACATGATTGCTGCTGTGGACCAGGGCACAGCAAGCCTCTGAATCCACCGTGAGGGAGCGAAGGGCTCAGGGAGCATCCTTGGGGCTCCCCCCCGTACTCAGCACACATGCGTGCACGCACACGCCTGCAACCCTGGCTGAGAAACCAGAGTGAACCTGGAGGTGGGGGGCTCCTGGGGTGCCCCTGGACCACATCCCTCAGTTTCTTGGCTGTTTGGGTGAAGGGTTATCCAAGTGGGCTTGAAGTAGCCTGGGCTGGGCCTTCATGGCCTGGGTGGTGGCCAGCTCAGAGAGTCTGAATTTTTTCTTCTGTGAAATGGGGATGGTTCGCCCTGCCTTGGATCCTCCCAGAGAGAGAATGTGGGGAGTGAGGGAACAGAGGTACGCTGGGGGAAATGTGGAGAGCTGTGGAGCCCCTACAAACCCAGGGGAAGCCTGCAATGTCTGTCACAAATATTCCAGAGGGAAGGGGCTGAAGTGGGGTCTGGTCCAAAGCCAGAGAGGGGTAAAAGCAGGGGAATCAGGTGGGGGAATGAGGTGTCCTGTGCCCAGAGTCTCAGGCCTCTCTCTTGGGCAGCACGGGGGGCCCAGTGAAGAGAGGTATCCTTTCAGCCTCCCAGACTGCAGGCTGGAACAGGGCAGAACTCGCTGGGCAGGGCAGTGGGAAGAAGCAGCTGGCATCTGAGAGCCTACTTCCCTGAGTCTGGATTCCCAGCCTGGCCAGGAGGGAGGGAGTAAGGGTGTGGCCTCTGAGCACAGGGCACACAGGCCCTTTCAGGACCGTCCCTCACCATGAAGGCCCCCTTCTGCTCTACTCCCCCGCCCCCTCCCCCGCTCCGGCCGCAAACCTCCACACACATCCCAACAACCAGGGCTTAATCTGATCACTTCCACTTGCCTCAACCTCCTTGCTATGAACACTTATGACTCGGTGAGTCCTGTCTCTCCATCAGGCCAAGGGTCTGAAGGGGTAAAGAACCCTCTACAAGGTAAATCAAATCCTAAGCAAGCTTCTCGATGGCCTTAACGATGTCTTCGCCTAGTCTGGCCTAGCCCACCATGGAAAGCAGGGTGAATGCCTGGAGGCACCTAGGCCCTACCTGCATGCAGTGCGCCTTAGAGAAGATGTCTAAGCCTGAGAACAAGGTGAAGGGTGGCCAAGTGCAGGGGTATATCATGGCCCGAGAGGACCAGGGGGCTCAAAAGCGGATGAGGGGCATGCCTGTTCATCTTGCACACCACCATATCAGCATGTACCCGGGGGTCAGCAGGTATCTGTTTGCAGATGGACCTGGGAGAGCATCAGGGCAGAGAAGTTGAAGCCTGCCTGTGGGCAAGGAGAGACCAGGGCCAGGGGTGCAAGGGAGGCAGGCACTCAGCCAGGACTCGGGCAGCAGGTCTGAGGAAGAAGCCAGGAAGGATCTGCTGCTCTCTAGATCCTGGCAAACTAGAACTATCAGGATTACAAACCACATTGTGTGCAACCTGTGCAACTGGCTAGGGATATGTGGGATCTTAAGACAACTCGACAGTGGTTGGACCCACAGGCTCCTCTCGGGTAAGACAGGAGGAGAATCAGGCTGGACCCCAAAGAGGGACAGGTCAGAAAGTCTCAGGTGGGCATGACAGATAGGGTCAAACCTGAAAGCAGGGACTCTCCTCTTGAAGGAGCCCTAGAGGTTAAGGCCACCCCCAAGGTCATACCCCCAAGATGACTGGCAGAGCAAGTCTGGAACGGGCCCCTGGCAAAGTCCTTGTCTGTAGCTTGGCTCAAGGACAGATCGCATCTCAGCCGAGTCCCAGATCCAGTCCAGTGCAGCTAAGAGCCGCCACCTTCTGAGGCTGCATCTGACCCTCCAGCCCAGAATAGTGAGGAACGCAAGACCGGCAGCCTTGTTCGTTCAATTAGGCCCCTTAACAAAGTCAGATCTAAAGAGTTATTCCATTAGTGGCCCATGCCAGAAATAGCTGGGAGTTCATTAAAAGTGTGGAGTTGCTATAGCGATTATCTGGGTCAGCTGAGGCTCAGCTGGGCAGTTGGTCCTGGGAGTTCATTAGCCTCTGGCCAATGAGGAGGCAGGACTGCCAGGTAATGATCTCCCACCTTCTCACGGGGGGCTCTTTAGGTGCTCCAAAGCACTTTCCTGTGAATGGAATCTGGTCTCTGGTCTCCTTTGATCCTCCCACAGCTCTGGGCTGTAGGAAGGTAGGTATCAGTGCCCCCATTTTACAGATGGGGAAGCTGAATCCTGGAGGTGAAGAATGAGATTGGGACCATGAGCCTGGGTCTGACTCAGGCTCTTCAGACTGAGCCTTGGCATCCAGGAGGTAACAGGACCTCACACCACTCCTGGGCTGGCCCCTCTCTTTGTCCTCTGGCATCAAATGGGGAACTCGGTATCATGGTTCAAGCATATACTTCTCTTTTGACAACTAATCACACACTGCCTCATGCTTCTTTCAGTGTTGTTTCTTTTTAGCTTTTTAAAAAATTTCTGCTGTAGGGCCCTGTCCCCAAACAAGGCATGGGATTCTTAAGAGCCAGGCTGGGCTTGATGAGCTGGCCGAGGGCATCTACTGTGAGCTCAGAGGCTCCAAGACCAGCAAAGACTTGGCTGAAAGTAGCGAAATCTTCTCCACATGCACACATGTGCCACAATTACCTGAATATGAATGGATGTCTCTAGAATCTAAAGGGTCCACAATATCCCAGGGCTCAGAATGCCAGACTGTAGGAGCTTTGGACCTGGAACCCTCTTTTGTGCCAGGAACCCCTGTGGCAGTCATAGGCCAGGAGACGCCTATGCCCTCTCCTCTAAATAATGTTTCCAAATGCGTGAAACAAAACACACAGGATTATAAAGGGATTATACTGGATGGGCGCCTGGGTGGCCGAGTCGGTTGAGTGTCCGACTTCAGCTCAGGTCATAATCTCATGGTTCGTGGGTTCGAGCCCCACGTCGGGCTCACTGCTGTCAGTGCAGAGCCCACTTCAGATCCTCTGTCCCCTTTTCCTTCTGCCCACTCCCCACTCATGCTCTTTCTCTCTCAAAAATAAACATCAAAAAAATAAAGGGATTATATTGGAATACATTATCAAAATATTTTTTCAATTGTGATATAGTCATAGGTATGCTTTTTAACTAATGAATTAAAACACAAGACCTACCAGTGAATTTAATAAATATCATAATTTTGAGTTAGTGATGCACATAAACTGTATTTTAAAATCTCTGTAACAACTGTCATGGGATGTGAAAGTATCTGTGATTTCTATTGGTGACAAAGTCACAGTTCTTGCTTGTGGTTTGCTGCCTACATTCCCAGTGGAAGGAAATGTTAAATTTCAGCGAGACGCTAGTGTAGGTATTTTCCCCAGCCAACGTCATAGGATCCCCTGCATTCTCTCTACTGGTCCTGTGGGGGATTGCGGTCCCAGGTTAAGAATCCTTGTGCGAAAAGCAGAATCTTGGTTGCAGAGCTTGTCAGCAGTGCACCTGTCACCCTTACTTCTGTCTACACACATCTTGCTCCAGTTGCCCCCAACAGGAGACCCCCATGTCCGTAGAGGCCCGGAAAGGCATTCAGCTCCCCAAGAGCCCTGCAGCCCCGCACACCCAGGTGTGACACACACATACCTGCACACACCTGCACACACCTTTGCACAGTGCAAGTCTTACCTACAGCGGGGAATGGCACAAATCTCTGGACAAGAAGACGGGTGGCTGGGGTGAACTTGTTGGCTTTCTGAACCAGGACATTAAGGCCCACCTTAGAAAGAGAAAAAAAGAAAGTGCATGGTGCTGCAGCAGCCTGCAGGCAGGGAGGGGGGGTGGTAGCGGTGCAGGCTGGGGCAGGAGCACAGAGCGAGTAGCACTGTCTTCCCCTGAAGCTCCACCCAGACCCCAAATCCTCCACGTCACGTGGAGCTGCCAGGCTCCAGTGTCACTAGTCAAAGCATCACTGCCCAGTCATCCCAGTTAACCAGCCCATGAAGAAGAGGGTGAGGGGAAAGCCTCAGCTACACACACACACATACACACACACACACACACACACACACACACAACCTCTTTTAGGAGGGAAAAAGGAAAGATTGCTGTTAGAAGAACACATAATCTGCAAGTAAATGAAGTATGTGAACCTTCATTCCCACCTCAGCCTCTAGGCACCCCCTTTTGGAGGCCCTGCTGTGGGCTCAGGCACGAGCCTAACCTCAAGAGCTCAGGAGACAGAGATCCACACATCTGCCCGCAGGTGACTGCGGAGCTAAGTAGAGCAGCCCAGAGCAGGATGGCGGAGCAGTGGACAACATCCTGGGCTCACTGTCCTCTTCACGTAGATCCCGGTCCCCTCACCCAGCCTGGGACACTGCCCCCCCCCACCTGCCTTCACCTTAGGCACTCCCCATTCTATTCCATCTGCCATGTTATCCTCTATCCTTCTAGAACACATGGTCCAACCATGTCTACCACGACCAGCTCCTCCCCGTGAGGAAAGATGCCATCTCCTTCACACAGCTTCCCTACTCCCCAGTGCCCCACATTCTCCTTCTGGGAATCCAGTTTACTGCTCCCCAGATGCTAGGGGAGCTTTCTGGTCTTGAGGCTTTGCCCATGCTGGTCCCTGTGACCCAAATGCCTTCCTTCTCTACTCAGTCCACATCTGCTCTTTAAGGCCTACCTCTGAGCTCCACCTCCAGTGAATTACTAACAGTGGAAGTCACTGAACGTTCTCCTTCCTCAGTTACCTTGTCTATAAAAAGGGATGGTGATATCTATAACATCCCAGGGCTATTACAAGAATGTATGTAGGGCTCCTGGGTGGCTTAGTGGGTTGAGCGTCTGACTCTTGTTTTCAGCTCAGGTCATGATCTCATGGTTGTGGAATCAAGCCCTGTGTTCGTCAGGCTCCACAATGACCATGGAGCTTGCTTGGTATTCTCTCTCTCCTGTCTCTCTGCCCCTCCTCTACACGTGTATACATGTACATGCACACACACACACACACACACACACACACTCTCTCTCTCTCTCTCTCTCTCAAAATAAATAAATAAGCTTTAAAAAAAAAAAGGGATGTACATAAAGTGTTTCGCATGAGCTTGGAGCATAAAGAGATCTAAAGAAATGAAGTTATGTAAGAATGTTGCTTCTCCCAGGCAGGAAGGTGCTCCCTCACATATCCCCGGTCCCTCCTTCCTAGCACTCAGTTCATGGCTCATGGATGTGAAGTCCCAGCTGGACTGTGAAGGTGGACCATGCCTTTTTCATGTTTGTGTACCCAGCATTCAGGACAGTGGATGGCACGTAGTACTTGTTTGATCAACCGGTGATTGAGGAATAAATGCATGAACCGACGAATGAATGGATGGAGATCAACAAAGGCTGGAAGGGCAGTTTCTTGGAGGAAGGAAAGGTGGGGTTAGGCAGGGCAGAGGAAAGAGAATTTTGGTGGGGAAAACAGCACAAGCACAGGCATGGAGAGAGAGAAGCCTAGACGCATGTGACCAGACCAGAAACAGGTGTATAGAGGCCACCGCTTCCCCCAACGGAGGCCAGAGCCAGACCCGCCCTGTAGATCTTTCCTGGGAGGAGGGGCAGCGGGGGCTTGGGGAGCCTGCCCTCAGCTCTGGCACACCTGGTCGCCACCAGGCCAGAGCCTTGGGAATGAGGACTGCAGCAGTCAAAGCAAGAATAGCACGGTGACCTTAGAAGACAGGAAATGCCAACCTGTCCACCCCTGGGTAGCCCAGGACCTCATAGAGCCAGAATGTTCCCAGGCAGACCCAGCTTGGGCTCTTGGGCCTCTGGTCTATATTTGAAACCTCAGGCTGATCCTCAGAGTCTCATCCTTGCCCTTTCTGCTTGCTCAAGGGAAGGCTGGGAGTCAGAGAGATGCGAGGCAGCTTGGACACACTTCGCTGGTATGGCAGGGCAGGCCAGGGAGCTGCCAGCCTGCACCGGGCCCTGCCGCCCTGCCGCACAGATGGAACTCGCCACATCCAGGTATCCCCAGCTCTCAGCACTGAGTGACTGTCTATTTCTGTGGCCCCCTCCCCCCAAAGGCCAGGGACTTGTTCCTACAGAGTGAGTGGGAAAGTCTGGAGGGAGGCAGGATGACACACAGCGGGTGTTGCTGATGGAGAAGAGAAGGAAAGGGGCACAGCGAAGTGCCGGGCCATGTGCTGAGCACATCACAGGAAATGCCTAAACTGAATAGGTATGGGGCACCTGGATGGCGCAGTCAGTTAAGCATCTGACTTTGGCTCACGTCATGATCTTGTGCTTCGTGAGTTTGAGCCCTGCATCAGGCTCTCTGCTGTCAGCACAGAGCCTGCTTCAGATGCTCTGTCCCCCTCTCTCTGCCCTTCCCCACTCTCAAAAATAAATAAACATTAAAAAAATAAATTAAATAGGTATGTTGCTCCTTTTAATAGATTCAAAGAAGTTCAGGTAGGTCCAGAGTAGTTAAGTAACTTTACCCAGGGACACACAGCTATTATGAGGTAGGTAAAGCTAGGATTTGAAACCTAGGGGTCTGCTAATTCCAAAGCTTTGCCCTTAAATAGGCTCTTTACTTTCCATGTATCTTCCATCTCAATGAAGGATGCTTTAATGTCTAATGTGCCATTTAAAACTTGTTGTTTGCTTAGCAAAAGCTGTCCTGAAAAGACCACCTTGGGGCTGAGGCCCAAATGAATGGAAGGCAGCTCCTGTCAGGAAGGACCCTTGATCCAGCCCTGCCTGCACCCACACCCCAGCTATAAAACAGAAAGTCTGGGTTCAAACCGCAGCCCCACCCCCCACATTCTTTTGGAAAGATGCGGGAAGTGTTGGAGGAGTCCTCCAGGAGGCCAAGAGGCAGCTGAGGGACATTCCCCTGGCAGCCTCTTGGGGGCAGGCAGGGTTGGAGCGTAGCGGAGGACAAGGAATAGTGGCCACTAGTCATAGCAAACACTCAGACTTGCCCTCAAGCCTCCCTGGCTGGCTGTTTTTCCCTCTGGCTAGGGCTGGCACAGTCCGGAGTAAGTGTTTCAGCCCGTCCCCCCAACTCTGGGTGGGGATCCAGGGTAGGGAGGGGGAAAGAAGAGAAACAACAATGCCTAGGTTCCAGATCACTTCTGGCCTGCCCTTTCCCCGAAGCCCACTGGGGTCTTCCCAACATGCTCATTCCTGAGCATGGCCAGCATGCCTGAGCCAGGGAAGGGGCTGGGGACCAGCAAAGTAGGGAACTAGAAGCTGGTGAGGTCACCCTGCACACCCGCTGATGATGAGCCTGATAGCAGGAAGGTACAAATAAAGGGGAGGAAAGTGGCCACTCACTCCACTCCTGCTCCAGCCCCCAACTCTGGCCTCACTGTCCCCGCAGCTAGGATGGCCGTAGCCTGGGAAGGATCCAGGGTGGGCTGCAGACCAGGGTCGGGAGCCCGTCTGTTCGCATTCCTCAGGGACCCTTTGGCCTGAAACATTTGGTGGAGCCTATTAAAATTAAAAAGCCAAGTGGCTGGTGGCTCTGAATGCCAGCTCATTTTCCCTGGCATGGTGGGTCCTGTTTAAGGGAACCAGCTGGCATTAATGGCACACAACTCATCACGAACAGCAGCTAGCGATCAGAAAAATCTGAGCTAATAATCGGGTTTGGGAAAGATAATGAGATATGGAACAATCACTGCTGAGGGTCCCCCAGGGTCTGTTTTAACAGCCTCAAAATAAGCCACAAAATAGAAATTAACCAAACAGGGTCTCCATTTTGGCACAGAGGAAAACAAACAGGGTGAGGATTTTGCACACGAATACCCCTTGTGGTCAGCAGACAGGGTTCCTGGGAGAAGCAAGCTCCTAGGACCCCGTGGGACATCAGCAATGACCTAAGGGGCAGTGGACCTTCTCTGGCCACTTCTCTCCAAACTCCTGCTCCCAGGCCAGTGGCTTTGCCATGGGCAGCTGGCAGGAACAGGAGAGAAGACTAGCTTCCTGACAATCTCCCGAGGTGGGATAAGGGGCTCCGTGACACAAGGTCTCCCGTGTCATGAGCTGTGCAGCTGATAGCTGTCTCCTTAAGCACTGAGGTCCTTCCCAGGCCACCAGCAGCCTCCTTTCTGTGAGGCCGGAGAGGAGACACGGGGGTGGGGCTTGGGCAATGCATGCAGACTGTGTCCTCCACTCGAGTCCATGCCTGCAAACCCCCGCAGGCCAGCTTTATCTAGAAGGGCTTTATCTAGCTCCCCTTTCACACGCCCCAGACGAAGGTTCCCTTGCTCTTCCTCACCCACACCCTGTCCTGTGCCACTCCCAGCAGCTCCTCTGCCCCAAACCCAGGAGGCGTCCTGGACAGGAGCCTCTCCGTCCGCACATGCAAGCCGGCATGCAGGGCTAACTGTCCTGTGTCCCAGGAGTCCTGAATGCACCCGCTTGTCTCTACTCCTGCCGCTTACCTTAAGCACCCATCTCCTCCTTGGACAACTGCCCACCTCCCAACTCGGCTCCCTGCTTCCGCTCTTGCTCTACTCTCTACACAGCAGCCAGAACGATCTTCTAAAAATGGGTATCAATTCGCTTTAGCCTTTCAGTGGCTTCTCGCTGCAGATATAGACCCACAGGGCCCCCGCTTGCCAGCCACCTGCCATTGCCCGGCTCCTCCCATGAGCCAATTCTCTCTCTCCTCTCCCTCCCTCCCTGCCCCCACCGTCTCTCTCCCCAGGGCCTTCAAGCACTGCCCTCCCTCGGCCTCCTCACTTTTCAGCTTAAATGTAAGACAGCCCCCCCTCT